CATATATCGTAAAGAATAAGAGATAATAAAATAGATAATAGTGTTACGTATATATACAGATATATATGTGCATTATCATTCTTTTTCATTTAATTAATTGGAAAAAGTAGCAGGTGGACGAAATGTTGTATACGCACGATTACTTGTCGAAGCCTTAATAGACACTCCAGTTTAAGAAGGTACCGTGTTTACGTAATTCGTAATTAACCGAGCCGGCGCAAAATACAGATCGCTTATCTCGTTACGCTTGATCATTGACATTACATCGCGCAGTTAGATTGCGTTACACGATGACGTCGCGTTGAACGCTAGTATTATATAGCTGTTATGCAATTGTGAAAATTTCACTTTTCTCGATGCAATATGTCTGGTGCATGCAAGCGACCACGCTTCTCGCGATATTACGTGTATATTACAGAGATTGCAATCATTTTTCGCATCAAACGTTTTCCCATTCTCTTTTTCCCCTCCTTCTTTTCCTCTCCTTCACTCTCCTTCTCTTTCTTTCTTTCTTCATCTCTTTTTTCTCTTCTTTCAACATGGTTCCATCTTCTTCGACTTCGCGTTGCTTCACAAGCTTGCTCAACGATTGAGATGGATCTAGTAACTTTAACACAAGGACGTTCGCACAGTTTCGACAGATCGAATATGGCAAAGAGAAAGAGAAAGAGAGAGAAAGGCCATGAAGCCTCTAAGAGCGAAGAGCGTATCTCTCTCAAGAATTCGCGTGATATTATTATAGACGTCGTACGATTTAGTTGCATTTAGTAGCATTTCCTTTTTAACTGGCACTGAAGGACAAGTAAAATAAAGAAGAAATCAGTACATTGAAAAAATGTGTTAAATGTTTTAATAGACATTTGTTAGAATAGTATAATATTTAAATATTTACTAAATATAAATGTAAACTTACATTTATTTGTACACAGGAATCGATAATTTGATTTAACCATCCTTTTTTATTAAATGAATATTTATTACTATAAGTAAATATTAGTTAATACTGATGAAAAAATGTATTAAAATTTAGTAACTTTTTTAGCGTAGATTTTCTTATTACTTCTTAAAAAAGCTTTGGAGCAAGTTAGTTTGCAAAACTGTTTTTAATGTTTTATCAAATAATTTTAACATTATTATGCAATTACTTCGAGTAACTCTTGTATAATTAGCAATCGAAGTAGTGCATATTAATGGACTGACGTAACATTCGGTACCATCATTTTCTGTTACACGTTTGACTAGATAATTCAGCAACTAATATATGAGGTAACATGCATTTTAATTTACCTTACAAACATACACTGACATAGTTTAAATTAATTAACCACTTCACAGTATGAAAATATCTCGACATCAATTACATAACTATAATTAATTATGTGTTTACATTCGAATTATCATACATAAACCGTATTTCGATACATTGCCAATATACACTGAAAATTAAAAATTATAATTCACGTAACATTTATGTATATCAGTAATCAGTATACAGGATGTTCCTGCCCACTAATTATATAGAGCTATTCCTGATAAGAAAAAATGAGTCGAAAAGTCCTCTATCATTTTGCAATTTTTGCAATATTCTTTTTATTACCTGATGAACAAAATATCTCAAATTGATACATATGACAACTTCACAAGATATTTTTTAAGAGTTTTTTTTAAGAGAAACATCTTTAAAATATTTCATAAAAAACATTGAAAGATATCTTAAAATTGTCATATGCATAGATTTTATCCGTTTATTTGATAATCTTTAAAAATTAATATTTTGTTAACTATTACGAAAATTGCAAAATGATAGAAGACTTTTTGACTCAGTTTTTTATTCAGTAATAGCACTATGTGATTAGTGGGTGATATTTAAGAAACACCCAGTATATTACAGCTTTTCAGTATTAGCAGTGTATTGGAATGTATGTAGTAGTGATGACAGATGACAAAGATTCAAGAAAGATTTCAAAGAAAGTGTAACGTTGCTTTCTTTGCGTTAAATTCGTTCAAACTCGTTCATTAACGCAATAAATGACATATGTACTATAAAAGAAAGGGTGTGGAATACTTGAAAAGATTTTTCTTTTTTTGCAGCGCATTCCTTGGAATGTACCGACGATGAAAGACCGAGCATGATCGGGGAGTGCTTTACCTTCGTAAAACCGGATAACTCGGAATACTCACGAGTGCCTTGCTCCCACTCGTGTTTTTATACTCGTGTGCTCGACCTCTTGACCGGCGGGGGATCATAATGCTAGAGCCGGTTCTGGGAACTTTGTCGATCTGGTGGTTGGTGGTATACGCCAACATTTTGCTGCTGCTGTCGCCGTTGGTGTTACTGATGATCTTCTTCCTCCCGAATTTTCCGATCTTGTTGCTGCGGCGAATCTGTTACATACCGATTGAGTCAATCTGACCAAAATTAAATCGTCGATCGATTTATCGATCGGCGATTTATCATTAGATGTGCGATCGCGGATGCGGCTGTTGCTACATTATCTTTGTCGCGTGGCGCGTAGCTAGAAGTTTATAATATAATGCGTATATAATATATAACTTTAAACACAATGAAAAGCATAGGATAGTAATGAGGAAATTACAGATTTTAATCTATCAGAAACCGTGCATTCTAGTATACGTGGTTTCTAATAGGTTGAAATCTTTATTATTTCTTGTACTGAAAAAAAATTACTAAATCTCAAGATATATATTTTCTTTGAATAGTACTAAGTAAACATTTATTTCATACGATAAAAAAATTATAATTAAATCAAATTAATGGTTTTTGTATTTAATAAATATATATTTACATTTAGTGAATATTTACTTAGAATTATTAAAATAAATATTTATTAAAAATTAGGATTTTTTCAATGTGTTTCTTTTGCCCGTATTTTTTATTACACAATTAAAAAGCACAGGCAATAGGAACGGGTAATAATAATGTAGTCTTATTAGAAACCATGTATACACACAACATTATTTGTTAATATTCGCTGCGCTTTTCATTGCGTTAAGACTTTATAGGTTTAACATTGCGTGCCACTCGAGAATAATCAAAAAGAATCCTCGAGCGAATTTTGGCGGTTTCGATTAAGATTTCAGTTGCTCATGTAGTTTTAAGTATTTATGTGCGCTCTAGAGTGTTAAAATTCATAATAGCGTTGCTAGCAATGCGTTTATATAAGTATGGACCGAGTTGAGAGCTTGGTTTTGCTGTAGCAGTCATCAGATGTATTGACATAGGCAAGTACCACGAAGCGACCAAATGCATCTTCGTCAAACAAAGAATAATGCGAGGCGACACGATTACGCGAAGGACTCGTAGGTAGTGTTTGCGCTTCTACACATACACGCTAATGTTCAAGCGCGTTGACTTACCAAGTTATGCACGATGAATTCCAACGAGACGCTCTTCTTGCTCTACGTGTCATGCGCGAAAACGACCGATGTACGTGGAGTTTTGGATGTAAAAACAGCGCGATGTAAAAAGTCCTGTGGCAATAAGCGTTTAAAACGTTACCAGCGTTTTATCATTCGTTTTTCACAAATTCGTATGACGTATGTTAATAATTATAACGGTAAATACGGGATGCATTTATCAAACGAGAGAAATCAGAAATTATGAAATCTTTTAGTTTGAATACGCACACGCGCGCATATATGTATATTATCTGCTCAAGAGTTTCCTGAGAGAAATTAAATTTTATTCAAATAGGATTTATCAGTAATTATCGCGCTTAAATAATTATTGTAAACAGTATTGTACAAAGCTACGATAATAATATTTCGTATAATAAATTGGCATCACGCGCTGTGCAAAAAGAGATTATTGTGTGTGCATTTTTAAATATTATAATATTATAATATATACCTTTTGTGTCATTTCCGTATGTGTCGCTTTTAAGGACAAGTGCATGTTATAGTAATCATCATAATGGCCTGTAAGTAGAAGGCGAATTGAGAGACCAAGGTGAACTGCTTTGTGCGATGAAATCGATGCATTATTATCGAATTGTTTACGACTGGTAAAAGCGGATTAGAGTACGTGTCGTTTTGTTTTCTGATTGCATACCTCGCAGATAACAGCTGGTAAGAATAAAACTCGGTACGCGTTGATATGTCAGGAATGGTTGACAATAGTCTATATGTATGTATTGAAATATAGTCTTACTTTTTTTATTCGTCCTTACTTGATCATATATATTAGCGAAAGGTGTACAAAAAGGCGCGAAAATTTGACATAAAACTTGACGTAAATAATTATACAAATAACCATATTGAAATATAAAATCAAATTTCTATTTCATTCTTTTTACATAATTCGATGTAGCGGAAGAATCTGGATTAAAGATATCACAATGTATAAAAAATAAAATGTTAATTTTAACTCAACGACTTTGAGTTAAAATTAACATTTTATTTTTTACAGTGCAGATATATCTATTTTATGTTTTACACATTTAAATAAAAGTGTCTGCGATTCGAGTATATTAAATCATCCCGAGCATGTACACGATTTTAAAAGCGGCTTCCTCGAAAACGTGCGTATCGTCCCAGGAATCGTTCCCGCCCGTATGCTGCACTCGATCGCATCGGTGAAGGAGATGTATTGCAAACGGCTGTCCTTCTACAGTTCTACCGGTGATATAGGCTGGTCCGAAGTTGGACATTATAGTAGCGATCGGAGAGTACTTTCGCCGAGAGTCGCTCGTAGTGGGGGAGGCAGGACTTGAACCCTGGAACCCTATGGGCCATATATACTACGGGCCCATGGAGCGCTCTTGCTACTTGTGGTGTCAGCTTCTCGCGGATTCCCCGCCGTACAACAGGAAACGTGCAAGAAACGGAAGCTGGTAAGAGCGACGCGAAGGTGAGTACTTGAGGCGGGTAAAATGTACGCACCGCTCCGTTTTAACCATAATTCCGATAGGACCGAGGACGAGATAACTCGACAAGGTGAACGTGATATAGTGAGACCTGTTGGAAATAGGAAGTGATACGTGTAAATGACATCGTGGAGCTGCGAATGCTGATGAGGTGAATCACCACCGGTGCAATGCCATGTGTCTTCGTGATTTTATTTGTTCGCTGACAGGCTCGCCTTGTGAAATGCTGTCTGACAGGCTTTAGTAATATACCTTTCAACCCTTTCTGCCTGGCGTCTGTTTCCTGTTGATTATACTTAGAGAGAGTATTCTTGGTATATTATTGGTCCAAAATGTGCTTTTAATATAATAGAAAACAAATCTGCATGGATGTAAAATATTTTTTTTTTTTTTTTAATAGACAAAGGTATTCGTAATCTCGATTCTTATTTTAAGACCATCTTATGCAATGTCTTAAGATGTTATAGTAATACGACTATCTGGCTGGCTCTCATAGTTAATAATTCTTATATTTAAGACTATCTGAAGATGTCATGAATCAATTAGAAGACCGTATTAACATTTTAAGACATTATTTAAGACGGTCTTGCAATAATAATGGAGATATGAATACCGTATGACTTATGATTGATACATAAGACAGCTTAAATGAGAATCGACTATGAATATCGGTTAAAGATACTGAAAGTTCGATGTGCCGGTTTTTTATTGCAATTTTTTGTATATAAATAATAACTCTTTATATTTTTCATTAAAAATGATCTATGTTGTCGGTAACAAATGAAATACAACGTATTGAGATTAAATCAATAAATACATTGTTGGAGCCGCTTCGCGGCTTTGTAACGTTCCGCCAGTTCTATCGCTCTGGGAGCTTGAACTTCAAACACGATAGGAATTCAAATACGATAATTCAATCTCGGGTACACGCCTATGAGCACAGCCGGGGTAACATTCCGTGCACGTGGCTTTCGGATCGTTTGTATGCAGCGTTTTGCGCGCTCACACGCGAGGCACTTGCGCCACCGGTATCGGTTACTTTTTCAGAAACAATAATGGTGTCAGTTACTTCCATAGAAACACTCCCATCTTCTCTCGGCATTGTTCGCCATTTCGAATACTTTCGATCATTTCCTTATTAGAAAGTATACGATAGTCGTATAAAATATATTTATTATTGAATCTCTTATACGTAAATCCTTATTATGACAAAAAATTAAGGAGGATGTTAGAAAAAGGTCAATTTCTCTACCTAAAAAGGTGTAGTTGTTCAAATTTTAATAATCTTACATAATTTTCGAGAAGTTTCTCAAACGATATTTTTTAATTACTTATCGTATCTTCAAGAGGTCAAAATCTACATTATCCTTTCAAATTTACACCTTTTAGGGCATGGCCTCCTTTTAATACCCTTCTTTACTAATAAATAACTAAAGGACTAATGGGAAAGTACTTTTTCTAGATGAAGCTGCTGATCTTGTGCTTATTAACTACCGTCGCGTTTGCCATGCCTGGGCCAGGACTCCTCAAAATCCCGAGGGTGTATAATGCTGTGATTACGAGCAATCAGAATCTATCGCCATCGCGAGCGTTCCCTGTGATACAACCGGTCATCCATCGAACCGCCATCGGCTACGTGCCGCCATTCTATTACACGCAGATAGCACCTCACTTTGTCGGGCCGGAAGTGGTGCATTATCCGTTGCTCGCCAATGGTAAAGCGGCCAGGAACGATCAAGCGCAGGCCTCCTCCTCAACGTCGCATCTAGTCGAGTCGACGAGCTTCGGTGTTGCGAAGGAACGTGAGGATACGGCTATCACCGATCGTGCGAAGGAAAACGATCGAAAAAATGGCGATACGAAGAACTCCGCGAAGAAGAAAGAGCAGGAGCCATGGAGCTTTTACCCGAACTATCGTTCCTTTTACTACGAGCCGTATGTCTATACGTACAACGGTTTCAATCCACATCTCGTACCTGGCACTTACTACATCGATTACCGACCTTACGAGTCTGTAGAATCAATCCCATCTACCACGCCGAGGAACGTCGATTCCGATCACCTATTACCAAGCTTCCACGACGAGAAGAGAACCCATACGAAAAACGTCAGAGAAAAAATACCAGATGTACCACCACCACCTCTTCCGACTTCCATACCGAAGAGATCTTGAGCCTTGCAAAATAAAACTATATGTATATGATATTTCAAACTGAATCGTGACAAATAAGTGAAGACGAAAGCTTCGCGAATTTTTTAAACGAACGTTGCAAGTGTCAATAGGATATGTCGATGAAATATATCAAAATTTCTTGTTACCTTCTTTTATTTCTTTAATCTTTTTAAGAAGGTGTAAACCTTTATTGTTACACATTTTGAGGAATAATCAATGCTTGGAGCGTTGGCACAGCTGTGCAATCAATCGGCATTTAGTATATTGATCGCGCCATTACATTGAATTGTGAAATTGTTGAGTACATAATCTCCAATCTACGTGCAGATATTCGACAAGTTGATGAATTCTATCTATACAATAATGCTACGTTCTACGCTAATATTGAATCAAACGAACAATAAGTACTCAGAATGTTTTAATCATTTGCGCAGGTATCTTTTATGGAAAAAATTTGTAAGTTTTTGTGATGTATCTTACGTATGTATTAGCTTTAGCTTGTTTATTAAGGTTACTTGCTTAATACGAAGAGTAAGACTAAACAAACGATGTCACAGCATATCGATATATTTATAAAAATATTACTTAATTCTTTGTATTAAAAATTTTTTATACTTGTGCGACATGTGTTACTTAGCTCACCTAATTTTACTCATATCTTGATTAATCTACGTTGTCGCAAACCTCACCAATTTTATTGATGCCCCAGACCTTTATTATGTAGGAAAAGCCTTCGTTCTCGTAACCTTGCAGCTTGAGCTTCGCGTATTCGTACCCACGTCCTCCGGAATCCAACGCGACAACCGCTCTAGTTTCGTTATATCGCAACGCTTCTACGCAAGTGATACAGACAGGGCCCTGAATGACTACCTCAAACAGAGCGTCAAGGTTCGAAGGGCCCGTTAATCCGAGAAGCAAATTGTGTTGATACACGATTTTTCCTTCGCACTTTCCCCATCGTAGGCTGCCTTCGGTGTTATCCTAGAAAATAAAATAGATAATCTGTAATACATCATGCATAATGTAATACTCTCTAAATTCTTTGGAGTGAAATTTCTATTCTCGTAGCAAAAAACTTCACAATTACGTTACAATAAGCTTACAAGCAAATTGTGGTGTCACTATGAGACTGTCGAAAGGTCACAGTGATACCACATTATTATCTTAATTTGTATATGTAGCAGTTTTATAGTGCGATATATAATAATTTTTTATAACCGCTTTGTAATCATGTCGTTGCGATGTTACCTGTGACAAAGCGAACATTCGCACATCATCATGACATTTTTGAAATATTCTTTACTGGGAGGATAAAAAGCGAATAATAGAGTCAATCTTGATAAAGAGTAGTTCAACTTTTAATCTTCAAGCGTGAAATTTCACTTTTCAGAGTGAGACACATTCTAAAAGTTTTACAGAGTACATTTTGTATTAAGGCTACGTACGAAAAAAAAATAAACTTTCTAAATTCCTTGGAGTGGAATCTCGTTCTAAAGAGCAAAAATTGAGTCAATCTTGGAAAAGAGTGGCTCAAGAGTGAGATTTCGCTCTTCAAAGTGACAATTCACTCTGAAAGTTTTGGAGTACGAAAATTGAAACGATAGAAATTCGTGAAAGAGAAATCAAAGTAATATTTATTATATAATATTAATGCACACCTTATCTGTCGAATTGTGAGGGCAGTCCTCGTTACTCTCATTGTAATGTGCGTGCCTGGAACGCGTTTTTGGCGCGAAAGTACCATTATTCGTACATGGCGTGGGCGTGACGGGAAAATCCAATGCGTTTCTTTCGCTGTTAGCGCTGCTTCTCGTTTGAGACAAGTTCGTGTCAGATTTGAAGCCGGGATCGATTTCCGAGACGAAGTTTCGTCGACTGTCCAGTTCGTTCGGTATTCTATTGTATCGCGATTCGTTGCTATATATTGGATCTATCATTGTGGATGGATGAAGAAAAGTAGTCGTGCTGTCCCTCGCTGTCGAATTTCTACTAGGATATGCACGTCCGAGATTGAACAGGGTAGCGTTGCTTGTGTACAGATGTTGCGACACATTGTTGTACTTTAATCGCGGAGTGGTGATTGTTCGATTAGCGTATAGCGCGTTTATTTCACGCTGCCGGGCGTAATATCTGTCCATGACAGCTTTTCGCTGCGCGTAATAATCACTGTCGTTTCTTCGCGAAGAATAGTCAACAACAAGCCTCCTTCTCATTCTGTTCGCTTCGCTTAAAGGTTTCGCCAAATTCTTTGTATACCTGTTGAGTTCGTCTAATGAGTGTGTTCTGTATAGCGGAAGTCTATAGAGCGTTTTTTCCGTGACATTTCCTTCATTTACATTTTCCGATACAATACTTGTATTGCCACAGTGATCATCGCTTCTTTGCGGAGAATTGTCAGCAGCGAAGCTTCTTCTCGTTCTGTTCGCTTCATTTAAAGGTTTCGCCAAATTCTTTGTATACCTGTTGAGTTCGTCTAATGAATGTGTTCTGTATAGCGGAAGCCTATAGAGCGTTTTTTTCGTGAAATTTCCTTTACTTACGTTTTCTGATACAATACTTGCATCGCTTCCTTGCGAAGAATGATCAGCAGCGAAGCTTCTTCTCGTTCTGTTCGCTTCGCTTAAAGGTTTCGCCAAATTCTTTGGATATCTGTTGAGTTTGCCAATTGTATGTATTCTGTATAGCGGAAGTCTATAGAGCGTTTTTTTCGTGACATTTCCTTCATTTACATTTTCCGATACAATACTTGCATGGCCACTGTGATCATCGCTTCTTTGCGGAGAATTGTCAGCAGCGAAGCTTCTTCTCGTTCTGTTCGCTTCGCTTAAAGATTTCGCAAAATTTTTTGCATATCTGTTGAGTTCGTCAATTGAATGTGTTCTGTATAACGGAAGTCTATAGAGTGTTTTTTTCGTTAAATTTCCTTTACTTACGTTTTCTGATACTTTACTCGCATCATCGTTACGATTAATCACTGTACGATCATCTGCACTCGATGAATGTAATTCCGAAAATGTAGAGTCCCTTTTGTATCTATTCGCATGTCCTGTATTTTTCCTTAATACGAAATGTTCGTATTTCTCTGGATGCACGACGTAACGTAACGATTCCTCGTCTGAGAGGAAATTGTCTTTCTCGGATATCGCTTCGTTAATAGGTTCGAAGTTAAATTTATTGTGTGCATTTTTACAGTTGCCGTTGGTACAACCAGCCGCTGCTGCGCTACGCGTGAGATCATCGTCAGAATATTTATGCATCACTTTTATAATCACCGATCCAATTCTGGACTGTTGATACGGAGTTCTTGCCGTGGTCCTTTTTCGTGGTTTTCGTAGTTTTACGGATTCCGAAAATGACACACTCGCGAGAAGAACAAGCACCGCGATTGCCCATAACGTTCCATGGCGGACAATCATTTTTGTAACGTCGATATTGACGAGCGCGTTCCGAGGATATCGATGTACTGATGGACTCGAAGACTTCTCGTCATCTTTGATCCCATTTTATCTCGGATTCTCGGGGTAAGTGACCTCGACGTTTTTTTCGTTGTAACAACGATCGGTTTATCGACGTTAAGTTACTCCGTCGCTATCCTGTTCTTTGTGAGGCGATATCAAATCTGTCGAATTCTGTCGATTTAATAAATAGCTTTTCTGATATATGAAAAATTAATAAATGTTTGTTAATAAATTTACAATAGAGATGTTTATTTACAGTAGAGATATCTATTGATATTCAATATTATCGATTATTCGAGACGTTTCTAGAGTCGATATAAAATATCGAATATAGAAAAAAGTATGCAGAAGTGCAATATTAAATATATAAGTATTTTTAAATTATTTATAAATTAAACATTTTTTAATAAAATCAATCAGATCTATAATAGACTTAGTTTATACCATTTTATTGAAATGGATCTGGTTATGGTGCATGGTGTAAGAACTAATATGGATCTGACAGATTTAGAAAGAAGTACGTCAATAGAAGCAGTCAAAAGAAATAGAAATATCAATCACGTAAATAAATATTAATTATAATATAATATTAAAAATTTTGATAATATTTTTTCAGTAGAGAATGTTAAGTTTTAATTGTTTTTCAACTAAAATGAAAAAGTTTCGAGATGTACAAATTACATATTAAGCCTTAGGCTATGTTTAGATTTTTATCCGAATGCCAGGAGCGCTCAAGTACAGTCTGAACACACCCTTAAAGAGCTACTTAAGCGAAATCGCGAATACCTACCGTCTATATTAGGGAACCATCAGGAACGTAAAAAAATATTCTTTTTGACAAGGAAATAGTCAAAACTTAGTATTCTTCTTTTCTTTTCGTTATTATAAATATTAATCAGCGAGATTTTATTTAATATATTAATGATTTATTCGATATTGATATAAATAACGGATATATTTATAATTGATATATTTTTTTTTAATATCAATATCTCTGTTTTGTAAATAATTTCAAGCAATTTTAAATGGTAATTTGAAATAGGGAGAAGATAAATAAAATAAAACCTATCAAAGATCTTAATTTTTATTACAAATATCGAACGCTATTCTTACGTACGAATGTAACAAAAATGTATTATTTTTCTCTTTTAATAAAAATTCGGCCAAAAGAACTTTTTAACATATCTCAGTATAGTAAAGTAACATTTAAAAAGCGAACGTTTATCGTACAAAACAATAATATTTATCGTAATCTTTTCACGTTTATATCTACATATGCTATGTTGTGCACGTACAAGTATTTTAAGAAGGATTATTTTATATCGCTTCCACAGTAATGGAATCGTTATCTGTATTTTCTGGATTTTTTGTTTCTGTATCCGGATCGACTTTCATATCTAACTTTTCGATGCCGTCATAATCGTCTTCGTCGAAAGACTGTTCTGTCGATGTTGGCGGAAGTACCGAAGGAATTTCTGGACGAGATGGTGTAAGCACAGGATAAACCTGGAAGAATATACGAGTTATTATTCATTCGTAAATGTAAATTACAGTATACAAATCGAGTGATCTTTTTGAGTAAAAGTTCATTGAAACGACATAATTACAGGATTTAATGGAATTCGGATATCGTAAATTGGTGTTCCATAATAAATATTATAATCAGGAAAGTGAGAAATCTCTGGTCTGCCGCTAACATGAAGAGCGTTCGGTATGCCTCCCGTGTTGGAATAAATCTAAACAGGCGTATAATGTTACACATGATGTCCAAGCGTTAGCTGTGAAATATTTTATGTCTGTAATACATTGTAAATGTAATAGGGAGAATGCGTATTTTGAAACGCTGCAAGATATGGCTGCTGTCCGATTCCAGGCGTGGAATATAAATAATTAGTGCCGACTAAAGTTGACCATAATGGTTTCGATACTGCTGTTCCAACTACTATCGCGAGGAAAATTACGAACGATGATAAACCCTGCGAAAAAAAAAATATGGTTGAGAAACACCGAAATCCGTCGTTCACATAGTAATTTAAATTTTATATTTAAATAGATAGATGTGAAGAACAAACGTTAAAATATAGAATTAGTAGTTCTTCTATATTTTTATATATATATATATATTTATATATTTATCGTTTTTTTAACTAGCGATATTATCAGGGTATATATGTTTGCTTATTATTTCTCAAAAGCGTATACGAGGAACATACGTAATAACTCGAAATGAGATTTGCCCATCGAATTTCGTGTGCTGCATGTAAATGATGCGAGCAAACAAGAAATGAAATTACTTTCCACGAAAACATCACGACGTCAGCGCGGTACGTATAACAATAATATTCTATTAATATATTTCGTTACTTTGATCTATTTGTCTCTTTCTACATTACCTGTACAATAAAAATAGAATAATTTTTACGACTTTATGTAAATAATAACAATTAGTTAAGAAATCTTTTATCTCCTGTAAAAAAAATAAAAATAAAGAAATCTTTTATCCTTGTAAAATAAATTTTAAATTAAGCAGAAGTACGACAAACGACTAACAAACTTAACAAGTATCACTTTAGAATGAACAAATAGGAAGAAGTTCCGTCTCATTTTAATGTCAAATTGGCGTCGTTAGATCGACATATGCAAATAATCGAACAGCGTAACAATAGCAACAGTTCCACAGTAATGAATCAGCGGCAGACTCACCCGCATCTCTTGTTTCCACTGATTGCCGATATAGCCTCAGATCGTATCCGAACTAACTTGAATTTCAGCCCTACCTGCGATTTATATATTCTCGGCCTGGAGAGCAAAGCCCCACCCCGTCGAACATCATCTGCGGCTTTTTTTTTTTGCTCCTACAAACGTTTACTCGTTGTGTCGTCTCCTCTCCCGATCGCTCGGAGCAGCACACGCAAAATACGACGTACTATCCTTTCTTGTTCCTTTTTTTAACGCGGAACTCGTAGCGTAATTCACAGACAGCCGGCGAGAAGCGGCCTCGATATCAGTTTCAGTATCGATACTTCAGGTATGATCGAAACCATGAGGCATTCTTTTAACGGTTAAACTGTATCGCCGACGTTTGCTGATATCCTTGATCGTAAGCTTATGAACTTGTTATTATTTTTCTGGTTCTCTTAACGATTAATATATTATATATATATATGCGATGCAGTGTAGGAGAGATTCCTAAAGGTATTCTCTGTCTTCGCCTTTCGATTCCCGATTTTTATTTTTCGAGGAGGAGCGCTTCAAAGGATTACGATCAAGGCGTTGTGTAGTTGCATTTAGAATCGGAGATCTAAAAAGATTCGCTTCGCGATTATCCTACGTGCTCCTATTGGGAACTTCTATGTGTACGATCGCAAAACTCGTAAAATTCCGAGAGAATGGATCGCGCGAGATTGTAGCGTTCAATAAAGTCCGCCGCGTATTGATCGCTGTGCAACCCTAAACGTCCTTCCTGCATGATTTGCGAAGGACGACGAAGGGGAAGTTGATGTGCGCGAATAGAGTACCGCATAGCGTGAGCGTTCCATAGAGTGAGGTGGGTTTAAACGTTGAGAAGCACGCGTTGCGTGAACCGGTTATGCTCTTGTGCTTAGGTCATGAATAAGAGGCGTGGTCGGACCGAGTGTCCGTCTTACGGACGAAGTCGGATTTGAATTTCTAATGTTTCGTGCTCTATGCAGCGTCCTTTTTATTGGCCTCGTGCCACGCTGTCGATCCGACAGTTATTAGCACCGTGGCGTGACGTTCGAGCTGCGTGGGTGTATCGACGGTCACCTTGATGATTGACAATTTGGCGGCTGAGATTTAGCGACGTTATAATTCGACATTTATACCAACCTTCGTTGATCAGATAAGTGTATAATGCTCTGCTAAATGACGCAAAGGTGCATAATTTCGTCGATGAGGGTACGGCTGTCTCGATGAGGATCGCTGATAACGTCCTGCGGAGCACTAGATGAGAATTTCGTAGTGATGCAATCTAACTGATGGTAAATCGTTGATCAGAAAAATGGATATTATAAATAAATGCGCGATAAACTAATCGAGTATTTCTTCTTTTTCTTCTTTGATGTATTATACGTGACATGAGTTATCTCCATGATATATCTATGAATATTTTTTATCTGTTATGAAAAATTGTGTTTTCGATATTTTCGGGAACGTATATCTATTTTCTTTTTAATAAATCTAATCGATAATTTTTGTAAACGTTTAAAAAATGGTTAACCCTCAACGATAATTCATGTGTCACGAATGTCAGATTATACCGTAACTGTAATGATTATTATGAACAATTATGACATGTGAAGTTATATCGTAAAACTAACCAGATCCTCATCATGGGAAGAAGACGAGATAACGCCGTGTAATGCTATTCAGAAGAATCAGCTAGCCAATCAAATTTTGGTCTTAAATTTTAGTCTTACTGCACATCCCTCAAATTGTCACACAACAGCAATCAGCTAGCCAATCAAATTGTGGTCTTAAATTTGGTCCTACTGTGCATCCCTCGAGTGGTCTCACCTCTTCCATCATAATCCTCGCGTTGTTGATCGAATTCGAAAAAACTTGAGTTTCACAGGATAGACTGGCGAAAGAAGAGTGTGGACCAGTTTGAACCAAGAGCGCCCTTTCCACAATCGATAGGGGAGTCTCGTGAGAGCTCGTCCGTGCTCGTGGAACTTCGCACGTTTCCTAATCAATCCGCATAGGATTGCGCGAATTCGCGTTTATCAACAAGTGAGCTTCGTGCACTTACATTATCAGACAGCTTGGTTGCTCTGATTTATCAATTTTGGTTTAATACTGGTATGCCAGTCTCGTCGTTTGATCTGGAGGTCGTGTAATTTCAGTGTTGGTTATATACGATCGTGTTGATTACGATGCTGTCCTCGAGAGAGAAGAAGCCTTGAGAACAGCAAGTCGTATTTTCTGCGCTCGATTATTGATGCTTTCTTAACGCCTCCCCTTTTCGGCTCAATTCTTAACTCGATTCATCTCGATCTGTTTTGTGTCAGTTCGTTTTTGATAAAACTCCACGAATCGTGTCGTTAATGACGCATCATGTGTCGTTTCGTGCGCAATTTTAATGTCTTTATGCCGGCGAACGTGCTGCACGTGAATAAACATGCGCCAATGTGACAGCCGCACGCGAATATCGCACCGTTGCCGCTTCCGATAATTTTACGATTTTACTTTATAGTAATTAAATAAATAATCCAAGTTTTTTTTTCTAGAGAGAGAGAGAGCGTGGCATCTTAATTGGATTAAATAGTCATATACAGAGAAATTTTTCACTACAAATCGATTTTCTGATTAAATTCAACAAAAAATCAAAAATCTAATTGTAAGCCTGATTTTTGCAATGCAGATTTTATATTCGTTACTCGCAGAACATAAACTAATAGTAACATTTCGTTAAGCATCAATATAATTAAATTGCTTGTCAATTCAATTATGTTAGTACCAGCTTCGGTTTAGGACCGATTATCGTACAGTTAATTTGAACTCGAAGTTGTATAAATTCACAAAAAATACTATTAGACATAAAGAACCGTCTTGATCGAATATGACACTTTTCATTCATCTGTGTTTAATCATTAGTCCATTTTCATTTAATATTGATTAAATCAATGACTGTGTTCAACAGATAAAGCAGCGTTGCAAAATTCTTTAATTTGATTGATTTATATATGTTAGATCTAATAAGAAATTAAGGGCAAGACTATATAATCGTACTCTAAACAATCTTATCTTACATTAGTTGCAAAGCTGCTTTCTCTGTTAAATACAGCTAATGTTATAATTTCCTACTCGACAATGTAATTGTTATGTACACGTGCCATATTAATTGATACGATTTAATAGCAAATTATTATATTGATTTCTGTAATGTCACCGTTAGTTTGCTTTTGGAAACTATAACTAATAAATTGCTTTGCGTTTGGCTCACCTTTTTATGCGATTCTCGCTATCAAAATGAGACGGTCTTTCATTGGGTCTTTTTAAAATGCCGCTTGGGCAATTAAAAGAAGCAAATCTGCCTTAAGCAATTCGTATAGGTTTTAGGAAATATTAATATTTCTTCAACGTCATAATATATGTAACTAGATAAAATTTTGCAACGTGTTCACCTGCTCGCCACAACTCATTTCAACGTCTTTCGTATTCTAGCGGAACCGATGACGTTTTAGAAGACTGGTAAAGTCGCGAAAGTATTTTACGTTTTGGCAAACCAAACGTGATGATGATCTTTGACGTTACTCGGTAAATAAACAGCAATTATTTTCTCGAAACTTTGTGCTAGATTCTCACACTATGAAAGATGCGGAGAGAGATCTCAAAGTCCCAGATGTTTCGCTCTGCCAGTTCTCTATTTCGAAAATTACTTGATCTCGAAAATACTCATTCATCTTCCAAGAAGCAGGTCCAACGTAAAAACGTACGTTAAACAAATATGTGCAAATATATATAGAACAAATCTTGTCCATTGCAAAAAATGCAGGCACGTTCTTTCCTCGTTTAATATAAATCGTGTGTTACTTTGGTCTCTACGGAAAGAGGTAAAAGGAGTTCACACACTTTCTTAGGTCGAGACTTCAACGATGCATCGCGGCGCATCGGTCGATGACGCCAGGGTGCTGGAGGACGCGAGGGTGTTATCGCCGGGATAAGAGAAAGGGGGCGCGATTTTCGGGAAGCAGCCGTCGCTAAAAATAGACGCGCCCCGTGTGTGTGCGCGCGCGGTATGCATTTAAACATAGTTTTGGCAGGCAGAAACGTCAAACCGCCGCGGAGTGGCGAAGCGTGAGGATCGCTTCGCGAATTTCGCGCAGAGAGATCCGCGCTCTCGCCTGCAAGATCTTACCTCCTAGCCGTTAGCGTCGCGTCGAGAAGAACGATTCACGAGAAATATCTGTCAATCTCTGAGAGAGTCCCGACAAAAATTTTATTCCCGAGAACCCTTTCTTTAAGTCACGGCTTATCGAAATTCGGCTTTTGGCAAAAGTAAATAGATGGAGGGAGAGTCATGAAAAGTACATCGGTGAAGTACGACAAGGAGAATCGACGGCCGGTGGCGACGATGCAACCAGTCGACGAGAACACGGTCGACGTCCAGCAGGAAGAGTAAAGAGCCTATAGAAGACAGAATCGTATTTCTGTGTGTATGTGTGTACGTGCGTGCTCGCCATCCCCGTCGCGATTTCCGGTGTCGACGATCGTATGAACGGTCGCGTACGCTCGGTATGCGGTATTTACTTTGATATTCTTTTCTGACGATCGCTGTATTTATATAGCGAGGCCAAAGACTTTGAATTTTCTTTCCGATCAGTAGTCGTTAAAATATATCTGTTTTTACGAAAATTTGTAAACTTTAATTACACCAGTAAGACACGGATAGCTTTATTTATTATGATTAAAAATCGTTACGCTTCCTTTATAATTTCAATATCTTAAGCGACTTTAAAACGCATTTCGTGAATCGCGCTAATAAATTCGGATGAAAAATAATCCGGCCTCGCATTCGCGTGTGAGCGCTGCATTTATTATTTCATTCAATATATTCGTTTTTTCTTTTTATCGAGATTGTATCGACCCGATGTGTATCATTAACATCGCAATTGGTGATACGTTTTTCTTAGCTTTTGTGTATCAAACGTATGGATACCGGTTACTAAGAATGTATACATTAATTGTTGTTCGGCTCAAAGACTACGAGTGTATCGTCATTAAAGGA